CCTGTTTTGTCATTCCAGCTTTATTCGTCCAAGTAGGCAGTTGAAGCATTAGATGATTGCCATGTACTGTTATGCCTTATTGCCTTCACATATTTTCTACTCCACATCATCTTTAGAAGTTAGAACATGTGATTTATGGCAATTAAGATTATAATTTTATATAACAGATGACCCGTCCTGTTGCTGTGGAGGATGTGAAAAGAGAAGTGAAGATTCTTAAAGCACTTAAAGGACATCAGAATATTGTTCACTTCTACAACGCATTTGAGGATGATTCATACGTGTATATTGTGATGGAGTAAGTAGGCCCATACCTACTGCTAATAGAGCATATCAATTTTGCTATGACTTTTTTTCTTCTAAATTTTTAACGCCAATAGTATTTATCTTGTTTCCAGAATCCTAGACACTAAAATGTCATTCCTAAATATAAATCATTCTATAGCTATACCAGATGCATTCTTGATTCATTTTTCATAGCATATGGATATATGGGACTGTTCCTTGTATTGTTCTATGTTTGTCAACTTGATGCACTTCTTAGATAATATAACATCATCTTCCACAGTCACCACTCACCATTAGTCAGGACCTAGGATCTTCCTGGTTCCAAAATGTAGCTAAGAATGTCATACATGATCATGTGATTTCAGATAGATGTTCATATATGCCAGAACCAAATCTTAAGTCTTACCTTCTGTTTTTGCAGGCTATGTGAGGGTGGTGAACTATTGGACCGGATTTTGGCGAAGTAAGTAGACAAGATCTCCATCTCTTTGTTTCCTGTACCTCAGTCTTTGTCATTGAATTTCTAGATTTTTGTGCTGTAAAATCAACAACAACAACAACATAGCCTTTTAGTCCCAAGCAAGTTGGGGTAGGCTAGAGTTGAAACCCACCAAGAGCCCCAAGTCACGGTTCAGGCACTTCAATAGCTGCTTTCCAAGTACTCCTATTCAAACATAGAGTTGTGCTGTAAAATCAGATTGTTTTATTTTGTTTGTGCGCTTTATTTGATTTCTAGTTGCTCCTTCAAGGTCCTTTACTTAATGTTGTGTTCGTTTGGACAGAAAGAATAGCCGTTATAGTGAGAAAGATGCTGCAGTGGTAGTCCGCCAAATGCTCAAAGTAGCTGCTGAGTGTCATCTGCGTGGGTTAGTTCACCGAGATATGAAGCCTGAGGTAGAAATCAAATACTTTCAATCTCTTTTCACACAGTAAGCATTTGGTGATATTTCACTACTTCCTCAGGTCATGTAAGACTGTACCTATTTTCCTTCCCAGAACTTCCTTTTCAAATCAAATAAGGAGGACTCACCACTAAAGGCAACAGATTTTGGTTTGTCAGATTTCATTAAGCCAGGTAGCTATTTGGGGCCATATGAATCTGTCTGGAACCTGATAGGGCAAGCTGCAGTTTAGCTGACTATTTTGTTGTCTAATGCATGCTTTAGGGAAGAAGTTCCGTGACATTGTTGGAAGTGCTTACTATGTCGCACCAGAAGTACTAAAACGGCGGTCTGGTCCTGAGTCAGATGTTTGGAGCATAGGAGTTATAACCTACATTTTGCTCTGTGGGAGGCGGCCTTTTTGGGATAAAACTGAAGACGGTATATTCAAGGAGGTAAGTGGATGGCTTTTGCATAACATGTGCTTACATGTAAAATATGCTTGGTTAGACTGTGAGTGTCGTACCAGGGACCAGCGTTTTCAGTGTTCTGATACGGTTTTCTACAATTTGTTTCTACATCATATAGCAGTGTTACCTTGTTAACTATTTCAGTGTCAAACTATTTGTCAGTGTCAGCACTCAGCAATATAATTTTACTATTTTGAACACTGTAAACCTATTTGGCCAGGTTATCCTTCAGTGGTTTCTGTACTAGCTACCAGAAACCCACTTTATTCTGGTGTTCAGTTTAATAACACCCACCATCTTTCAGATTTGTAATGTTCAGTGTTACACAAACTTCATTAAGATGCACCTTAAGATGATTATAATAAGTAGTAAAACTGCCTTGCACTTCTAGTTAACTTGAAGTCTGAAGATGACTTGTGGTACCTATGGCCTCAAGAAACCAAGGCATTGCCATTGGCATAGCTAATTTGAATGCTTGAATGAGCTTCAGATATGGCTATCTGTCTTAGTTTTGGACATCTGATTCAACTTTACAGGATATTTGCCTTTGAGATCATTGTCTCAGCCAAAATATGTTGCGGTCTCTTTTTTTACTGTCTTAAACTCTAATACTCTACCTGTAAAAGCTGCTAAGCAATATGGTTTCCATTTTCATTATTACCTTCACCTTTTTCTTGCTATTTAAATATCTTTATGCATTTTAATCAGCAAGGACATGATGCGATGGTATATGTGATATTCTACATCTTTTCACTTCTCATAAATAGGTTCTAAGGAACAAGCCTGATTTTCGTAAGAGGCCTTGGTCAAGCATCAGTCTAGGTGCTAAAGATTTTGTTAAAAGGTTACTAGTGAAGAACCCAAGGGCAAGGCTAACAGCTGCTCAAGCTCTCTGTAAGTTTTGGTATACTTATTATTAATTTACTAGCCAAGGCACGATGCTCAGATTCACCTCCTTTTCTATGCGAGAACTGAGAACACATATACATCTTGCAGTATGCCTTTCAAGTTTCAATCAGTTATAACAATGTGAATATGAAAAGACCGATGATTTTCTATCCTGCACCATTTTAGAACATTAAATCTGATTTGAGAAGTCACATGAAATAAGCATATACCACTGAGGTTTGCTAGTTCTCATATGTTCTTATGATGAACTATTAAGTCATTGGAGGTTTGCTGCCCACCACCCCTATGTTTGTATTGTGAATGACTACCATCTTTACTGATCCTGATTGTTCTTGATATGTTCAGCACATCCGTGGGTAAGAGAAGGAGGAGAAGCATCCGATATCCCTGTTGACATATCTGTGTTATCAAACATGCGTCAGTTTGTCAAGTACAGCCGTTTTAAGCAATTCGCACTTCGGGTAATTATAGTGATTACAAAAAATAATTTTAACACTACATTTATTTTTCCTTACAATATTTCTTTGTGGCATGGTCAGGCTTTGGCGAGTACACTTAACGAGGAAGAGCTAGCAGATTTGAAGGATCAGTTTGATGCAATTGATATTGATAAAAGTGGATCAATTAGTATCGAGGAAATGCGCCATGTAGGTTTTGTTAGTATTTGTTGATGAAAATGCCTTAGATCCTGAATTACTTTGAGGTGCTGATGGTCTGTGCATGTTTCAATAGGCCCTTGCAAAGGATCTTCCCTGGAGATTGAAGGGTCCCCGTGTGCTCGAGATTATTCAAGCAGTAAGTTTGGGCTGGATCCATTTTTTTTGTTACCCCCTTTGTTTCCAAGCAAATAGCTGGCCTTGTTTTGAGGATATAACTAAAACTGTGATCTTATTTTGTGGTAGATTGACAGCAACACCGATGGGCTTGTGGACTTCAAAGAGTTCGTTGCAGCAACTCTCCATATACACCAGATGGCGGAGCTTGACTCTGAAAGATGGGGTATACGCTGCCAAGCTGCTTTCAGTAAATTTGATCTGGATGGTGATGGATATATCACACCGGAGGAACTTAGAATGGTAATTTTCTATTCCTATTTTGTTTTCATGTTGCTTCATCAATGAATGCAACAGTCCTTATCATCACTGCTCCTATGAATAACTAGCTGGCCTGACTATCATGAGATGCTGTAGTTGCGTATTGCGCGTTTGGTTTAGTTCCATTTGCTAATTTTCTGTTTTCAGTGAATGAAGTAATTTAACAATGGAGCGCTGTAATATTTTAATCAACAAAAAAGTAATTTATCAATGGAAGCGCTGTAATAATTTATCAATCGATCTGCACGCACCAGGGATGGACACATATCATTCCTATACCATCTTACTTCTGTGACAATTTCAGCATTTAGATTTGACAAAGATAAAAACATGTTAGGGTTTCTACCGAGAAAACCACCTATACAAATATTGAGAATTGCACCGTAGAAACCCGAATCGGCAGTATTCTCATTGAGATTTTCTTTCAAGATGCAGCACACTGGCTTAAAGGGATCTATTGAGCCGCTGCTGGAGGAGGCCGACATCGATAAAGATGGGAAGATAAGCCTGTCCGAATTCCGCAAGCTCCTACGAACTGCAAGCATGAGCAACGTTCCCAGCCCAAGGGGGGTTCCAAATCCTCAAGCTCTGTGAATTGCGGCTCAGCCATTACATTAGGGAGGAGCAAATTTAGGAAGATACCAGTCATGTGTTCTTTTTTGGTTTCTTTAGCGTGCCATGTGATGTTTCTGATTTTAGCATCCAGGTTATGTGTGCAGCAATGAGTAAGTTTCAAGTAAATATTTAGTGTTTTTTTACGGAAAAGTATGAGAGGTGGAGGTCAAAATGGTAAACAAGACTCGCCTTCTTCTTTCCTGTACACTGTACAGTATTACTAAATACGTATGATTTTATTATACTGTTGGTCGCAATAAAGTTGGCTGAAGCAGTGAGGATGTGCTGGTTTGTGACAAACTTGCAACATAATCTGAAATGGTGTGATTTCAAACTGTTAAATGAAATCCTATTTATAAATTAGTATGATCTGTACAGTAACTGTTGGTTCGTGACAAACTTACAACACATCTTTTTAGGAACACGGAAGCTTTTCAAGATTCCTGTGTTCCAAATTGTTGCCAAATTCTTTTTTTTTTTTGGCAGGTTAGAACAAAATCCAGTAATGCATTCGCAGTTGTATTTCCACTTTTCCTGAGAATTCGTACAAAATCCTGGTGAATTTATGCGTTTTCAAACAGATCACAACACAGTTTCAGCATAAAAAGTTATGACAGATTTCATTTGCAATTTCATTGCTGGTTGCTGCCATTAGTAAATGTGCTGGAGTACTAGGATAGCACTATAGTATAGCAGACTGGCAGTTCGAAAAAGCGCGCGCGGGCTTCTCCTTGGCAGGCTGGATGCCGCCGCCGCCGCCGCGGTTGGTGCGAAACCCCGCCGCCGTCCTCCACGCGGCGCTCCTCAGGGCCTCCTCCTCCTCTGCCGCCTGCCGCCTGCCTCCCCGCATCTCCTTCAACTCCCTGCTCGCGGCCGCCGCGTCCTCCCCTGACACGCGCCTCCGCGCGCTCGCGCTCCCGGCCCTCGCGCTCGCCCACGCCTCCGGCCGCGTGCCCCTCGACTCGTACGCCCTCTGCTCCGCGCTCCGCTCCACGCCCACCGCCGCGGAGACGCTCCACGCGCTCGCGGCCAAGTCCGGCTGGCTCGGCAGCGTCTTCGTGTCATGCGCGCTCGCCGCGTCCTACGGCGGGTCCGGCCGGTACCTGGACGCCCGGAGGCTGTTCGACGAAAGTCCCGCCAAGAACGGCGTCTTCGGGAACGCCGTTCTCGCTGCTTACGTGGGCGTGGCCAAGTGGGCGCCCGTGCTGGGGTTCGCGAGGAGGTTCTCAGAGCTACGGCTGCCGGTGGACGGGTACACGATGACAGCTGTTGTGCGGGCATGCGGTGAGGTGGCAAACGCTGATCTTGGCGTCGAGGCTCACGGGCATGCGATCAGGAGGTTGGGAGGTATAGAGGTGGACGTGTTCTTGGTCAGCGCGTTTGTGGACATGTATGCCAAGTGCGGGCTTATCAGCCAAGCGGAGCTTGTGTTTGGCCTTGCACAGCAGGAGAGTGGTGGCAGAGGTGACGTTGTGCTGTGGACGGCCATGTTGAATGCCTATGCACGGCATGGACAGTGCAAGGAGGTTATCCGGATGTATGACCTGATGGTGGCTTCTGGTGTCTATCCGGATGAATTGGCCATGTTAGCTGTGCTCTCAGCTTGCCAGCACGCTGGGGAGGTGGTCAAGGGGCTCAACTACTTTGAATCCATGCACACAGATTATGGGTTGGTGCCCACACCAGAGCACTACGGTTGTGTTGTCAACATGCTGTGCCGGGCAGGGGAAGTGACCAAGGCGTGGGAAATTGCCACCAAGGATGGCTGTGATCGTGCAATCGGCGTGTCAACATGGGGGGCACTGCTCAGTGCTTGCCAGGCGTGTTTAAATGTTGAGGTCGGGAGAATGGCAGCTCAGAAGGCAATCGAATTGGACCCTACCAATGTTGGGATTTACATTGAGCTGTCAAATTTGTATGCAAGGGCTTGCTTGTGGGACGATATGGGCCAGCTGCGTGAGGTGATGATGGAGAAAGGGTTGGAAAAGGATGTTGGATGTACTTGGGTTGAGCTTGGTTCAGGAAAGAACTTGAAAATGCTTCATGTTGATGTATGATCCAACCATTATGATTGGAGTTGTGGGAGGCTATTTCATGTTTGGATAACCTGCCACATCCATAGAAACCAACCTTTTCTGGGACAAAAATTATAAGCACAATCTTTCTTTGCAGTCGAAATTAAGATAGCCATGGAGGAATTGTAAGTGAGATCAACAGTTGCCACATTTTCTTCATGTCTGAGGTAAATTGAGATGTATCACTGACTCACTGTGCAACAATGCACTTACAATCATAACAAGTTGCCAACTGCATTGTTTCGTGTAAATAAGATACCATCATTGCGCTGTGACAAGTAGACATAATGCTATGCATTTTGATTTTTGACACATTGCCGTGATTTTTTTCTGACTGGAACATGATGCCCTGGTCTGATAGTTTTATATTTGTAATAAAGTGAATCTAAGGTTAGCATGGTTGCTGCTATGTGTGCTCATACTGGAACATGTTTGTTCCTAATCTGTGTGCTCCTACCTGCAATTTTTATCTTTGAAGTGGCTCTTACATTCCATAGATTAGTCCCACCACATCAAAACTGGAAAACTGGTGATTGCTACAGTAACCAAAACCTTTTCTTTTAGATGCGTTAAAATTGTACTGAATCACCTAGACGAAACTAGTACCAAAAGTCGGCCACCCAGCCTGAATGATTAAAATGAATTACTATTCTTTTGAGAAAGAAATGAGCAGACACATATGGAATTGAGTATCTTTGATTTTAAGCAGTGTCAACTTGAACCGATGACCTTTGCAAGCTCTCTCTTGCTCTACCATCAGGTGTTCCTGGAAGGGTTATTCTTTTTCTAACAATCGATATAGTTTAAATTTTGGCAATGGAAGAGAGACAACCATAACTCTGGCATATATCAGAACTGAATTTATGTGGATGCACTGTCCGGCTACTAATGCTATACTTAGCAACTCGTGTTCCATGGATCTGAAAATATTGATACCCAAGAGACAAGAAAGAAGCAGCACCAGGAATCTCTCTTTTGGCAGATAAAGCATGGTTATTCAATTCGTCTTGCGCAAGCAAGAAAGCATATGCATGTGCCAAAGCATGTCAATTATGACTCAGTTTAGAACTTTAGATCACTGTTAAATGAGTCCAGTTCTATTTGGGAACCTTGCAATTTTCCAGAAATCAGCTATTCACCTTGCGCTGAGGAGAGACACTCAGTTGGACCATATTTTTACTATGCTGGAAAAATTTGTGGATAACGTTCTCACTGTTGCAGGAAACCCAGAAAAGGCCAGGCTGGCAACCTTCCCCGAAATGATACCTATAGCTTCAGAAGCAGGCCAACCCTAACTTCACTTCCAGGACAGGAATCAAATTGGAGGGGGCAGAAACAACCTTGGTATGATAACAAGGAAAGGAATGCATTCCAAGCTTGCACTCCTTTTGTTCTGTGGGACTATATAAGCACTCAGTCTCAGGTACCCTTGCTTCTTGTGAGCACACGCACGCACGCCCTGATCAATCACCCTGCTGTTGGACCAAAGATGGGTCTTAACTTCAGTGTCTTGAACAAATTCGGTAATTTTCCCTCAAGCATTCCTTTATTTGTTTGTGGTATGATGCAATATGCCCGAGGGATCTACCTAAAGAAGTTGGGGACTATGTTTCATTTTAGAAGGGGAATTGACAGTTTGTGCTCTCGTTCTCAGGAGTCCCAGGACTGAGCGCGGCAACTACCAAGCAAGTTTATGAACGGCATTTCGCAAACAAGGACACTAAGGAGTTTAAAGATTTCCATATTGCTTACGTCGAGTTCTGCAAGTGGGTGTCCTTGCTGTTCTGTGGTTTTCCACTCCTGCCCTAGCACTTCATCACAAAATTAAAAGACTTCCTCGCTCCCTGCAGGTATTTCAACACGGTAATGCCCGGTCAGGATTTCGACACTCCATCAACTACGGAGATTCAGGTAATAATCAATCCAAAGTCCATACGTTTCTGTGGGGAATATTATGTATATATATACAGAGTAGTAGTCCCATGTGTAAACGTCCAGCATGGAATGCATATAGTAGCTAGACTAGCATCTCAACGCACATGGCATGCCTGCGTTGCAACGCAGAAATTTTTTGACGACGTGTGGAAGCCGGAGAAGAACGAGGAAGAGAGGAAGATACTGTTCCTCGAGTTCATGAGGAAGAACGTGAGGCAAGCGAAGGTGGACGACAGCTTCTTCATCGCGGCCGGGCTGGCGGTGCCGGTGGCGGCCGTCCTGGGCAAGAGGGCCAGCGGGCACATCCCCTACGTGAAGAGCGTGAGGCTGGACCTGGTCCCCAACGTCGTGTTCGTGCCGTTCGTGACGCTGCTCGGCATCGTCGGCGCCACCGCGTGGCAGATGGGCAACAAGAGCGCTGCCGCCAAGGAAGACGAGGAGGCGAACGAGGAGGAGAAGAAGACCAGTAAGCGCGCGGCGGAGCAGCAGAAGGAGCCCAGCAAGTCGCCTTGACTTGTTTATGTATATGTATATGATCTCTTAATGCGCTTGAAAATAACATGCATGCATGGATGACTGATCATCACCCACTCGCTCATCAATAGCCAAGGGATTTATTTATTGTTTGATGAAGCATTTTTATGGTGCACAGCAGCATAAATAATGGATCTATCTCATGGGTACAAAATGTAAAGTTGGGCGTTAATTATACATATTTTATGTTCCTTCTGCTTGTGTCGTCATTAACACGAGTGTTTTGAGCGACATGCATGTTCTGGCTGACAAAAGCTGACAAGTTATTACGGGTTGAAGCAAGAGACAGTTGAGATACCTTGCAGAATAGCAAAGGTAGCCCAACCCGATTGCAAATCAAAGATCAATCCATGTCTTGGACAACACTTCACTTCATAAATTCTATCATTCCTGGCTGATCGACAAGTTATATATAGAGGCACTTAGACAGGTTTATATGTGCACAAAGGAGAAAGATAAATTCACTACAGCCTCAAATTCACATCAGAAAGTGCTCAAATTCACTGCACCCTCTGCTCAAAGAGCCAGATCTACATGTGCACTTTGGGCTTGTTTTGTTGGAGCCTTGGCTTGAGAGCCTTAGAAACTGTTTGATACCGCTTATAAGCTGCTTATGACTAAAATAAGTTGAAATCAAAAGTCAAATCGTACATTTTTCAGTTTTTTTCTCCCTAGTACATCACCCATTATACTAAAACTCCCAGAAGCTGGGCCATACCAGCTTACTAAGCCTATATGGACTAGTTTAGCCCCCTGAATGGTTGCATGCCCTGACTGTGAACAATGTTTTATTTATTTTTGGTAGAACTTCTCTTTATTCCAATCCCATCATTGGACAAACTATCTTTCCCCCCCCCCCCAAATAAAAATTAAATAATGGTTCTAGAATATCACTCTAAACTCAGTTGAACGAACATGCGTAAGCATGGACTATGACATGTACACAATATAAACTAAATGATTAAAAATGTATATTTGTATTGATTAAGCTACCACACGAGCATCTCTAACATCTATGCCGCCAACAAATTAATGTTCTATTTGGATGCACATAGCTAATTGTTAGCCAGCTAATTTTTAACCCAAATTAGCTCTAGCTCGTCCAAACATGGGGCTAATTGTTGGTGTTTCGAGTTACCACCAACGAGTAAATTTGTATTATTGTGCGTCTGGCTCGGATGGTGTGCTTAGAGGACACGTGGTTTATACTGGTTCGGACAGAAAGTCCCTACGTCCAGTTCGTCGCTGCTGCTCGTATTACTAGCACCGAAAGTTTGTAGTAGGGGTTACAAATGGGCGAGAGAGGGAAAGGATCCTAAGTCTCTGGTGAAAGGAGTGAGTGGGTGCTGAGAGCTCGATCGTTGCTCAGCTATGTGTTCGTGTCGTGCTCTTGTGCGGATCTGTATCGAATCTTGATGGGTCGATCGGTTCGGGATCCCCTTCACGGAGCGCCCTGCTTTCCCTTTTGTAGGCCAAGGGAAAGCGCGGGTTATAGCGGAGGAAAAGGAGAAGAACGAGAGAGAGGAAGGCCTCTAGGATCACCGGGTCCTTCTTCTCCTTCATGTGGGTCCCACCGACCCTGTAGATGTCAACAGGGACGGCTCCACGTCGCGGTCCTGTCCGTCACTGGTGCCATGCGCAGGCGTCATCCGCCGGTCATGGCGCTCCACTCCATCCTGGCGGACGTCGTGGTGAACTGACGCGCCTGTCAGTGTTCGTACGAGGGTTAGGCAGAACAACACTGATACGCCCGCCGCTGTTCTTGATGTGAATCCTCAGGTATGGCCCGTCGTGGCCGCGGGTTACATTGAGGCATGCTGGTCTCTTCCTTGGTATCAGAGTTTTGACCTAGGTCCATATGCTTGGACCTAGAGTGGTTGGCGGCGGTATGGGTCCCCGTCGGGCGAGACGGATCCTGCACCCAAGGGGTCTGACGAGGCGGAGCCCATGGTCTTGGGGTCGGGCGAGGCGGAGCACAAACCCAAGGGTCGGGCTAGGCGGAGATTGTGGCCTTGGGGTCGGGAGAGGCAGACCCTGCGGCCTCTAGGTCGGGTGAGGCGAAGCCCGCCCCTAGAGGTCGGGCGAGGCGAAGATCGTGGCCTCGGGGTCGAGCGAGGTGGAGATCGTGGCCTCGGGGTCGGGCGAGGCAGAGCCCACGCACCTAGGGGTTGGTTGGAGCTGTAGGCGTGCTCTTGACTGCTCGGTTGAATCAATGTTGATGACCATTAGCTCCTCTTCGGATACCCTAGTATTGGTCCCCGACAGTAGCCCCTGAGCCTATAGAGGAGTAGAATACTCTTTCGGAGGCTTTTTCAAACGGGAGGACTCGAGGGTCTTGGCCGTTTCTTGTCATCCACGACGTGTCCTGGGGACGGCGATTCCCTTTCGTCGTGATCGGGCCTCTCAGGGGTATAGCCGTGAGATTTGGTGGGTCGAAAAGGTCTTTCTTGATTTTGACCCCTACGGGGGTCTGTCGTTCTGCGACCGTGCGTTTGGTCTCCTTACGAGTCCAACTTTCCTCGAGCCTCCGCACGTAGCAGGGGTCCGATCGAGGGTTGGCTCGTCTTCGTGATCGTCTTCCCTCAAGCGTTTTTTCTGATAAAAAACAGAGGGGCTAAGCCGTGCCATGATTTTCATCTATGGACGAGCCATGGTGCTCGGTGAGTTGTTAACGGGCTAGTCCGAGTGGGGCCCTGGCATCCTGTTCATGGGGGTCTGGCTTGGGTCAACTGGTGATCGACTTCAGATTCTCAGCGGTCAATCCATATAGTTCTCAGGTCTGTTCGATCGGTCCCAAGGGCTCTCTGCCTTTCTTCGAGGAAAAACCATGGATCGTATATGTTCGAGGCTCGAACATGGGCCAGGATGCCCGCGGCGCTCGTATGCCCAAGTACTAGCCGCTAGCGGGCCCATCCCTTTCCACCCCTCACTCTAAAAGTTTGCCGGAGCGGTTGTCGAACCCGTCGGTGGGACAACCTTCGAACTCCTGGGCTTAGATGGGCCGTAGGAGCGTTTTTAGCTCTGTATCCCTCTTACATGTGGCGGGTCATGGCCCGTTTGGGGAGGCAAAATGTCCGGCGCATTTTTTGAGGGGACGGCCATAGGTTGCGTGCGCACGCCCCATGACGAGATGTGGTGATAGGTCATGGCAGGCGCGGAGATCTAGGTGGGTAGTTGGTTTCCTCGCACCTGTCACCCCTATAAAACCAAAGGGTTAGCCCTCCGGGTTTTATACGCACTCTGCATCCTTGCCTCGTGCAGCTACGCCACCGCCACCAACACTTAGGTTTCCTGCCTCTGCATCTCCATCGTCGTTGAGCTCGCATCCATCCGCTCCCACCTCTAATGGATCCGTGGTGCCGTTCCGACATCACCTTCCAGCGCATGGAGGGCCTCATCCGTCGTGGTCTTCTCCACGCGCGGACCTCGGCCGAGGAGTGGTTGCTGCCCGGTGATGAGGGTTCGCCGTCGCCGCTCGATGGCTATGTGGTGTCGTTCGCCCACTTCCACGAGCGTTGGCTTGCGACCCCTCCCACAAATTCCTCCGGGGGCTGCTGCACTTCTACAAGATTGAGCTACAGCATCTCAATTCCAACGGGATCCAACACATGGCGGCGTTCATCGTGCTGTGCGAAGGATTCCTAGGGATCAGCCCCCACTTTGACTTGTGGAGGTATTTCTTTGCCATTAGCCTCTAGAGGAAGAGGGAGAAGGGCGGTAGGTAGGACTGCACATGCCGATGGGGTGCGCCGGCATCCAACTTCAGAACAATCGGGTCGGTGAGTACCCATCCGTGTGGCTCTCAACGTCCAACAAGGGGTGGCACTCGCAGTGGTTCTACCTCAAGAATGACACCACCGCCCCTCTGTTGGAGTTCACCGGGCGCCTGATTGAAGAGGCCCCAGAGCAGTGGAGGAAGTGGGGCGTCCTGGAGAAGGACAAGAAGAAGATCTGAGACCACATCACCGCCATCCACATCCTGAAGGAGAATGGCCTGAAAGGGTCGAGCATCATCGGGGCCTACCACACAAGGAGGGTGGCACCGTTGATGACGCGCGCGCTCCCGCTATACACGATGGCGCCCGAGGCGTCGTTCGATGAAACGGCGCTCATCGAGAGAACGCCCCCAACTTTGAGATTGCGTAACACATCAAGAAGGCGATGGAGCCTTTGCGGGATGACGCGGGTGCCGCCCTTGACTTCGTTGACCCGGTGTCGGGGCATCTTCGATGCGGCCGAAGTCAGGCTACGTCGTCTTCGTAAGTTTCTTTTTCTCCTGCCTTCTCTTCAATTGATTTCCTGGCCCGTGGGACTAACTTTGAGAGGGGCGGGACCAGTCGAGGGACCTCATCCTCATGGATCACTCGGCTCTGCTACTGAGGGATTTGGCCATGAGGGCGGTGAATCGCGCCGAGGGCGAGCGGCTGAGGAAGGCGAAGGAGGACAAGAAGAGGAAGAAGCAGCAGAAGCTATGGGTGTGGGGATGAGGGGAGGACACCGACAATGATGATGATGACGATGGTGATGACGATGAGGTGATGGAGGAAGCAGAAATGGTAGCCAATGATATCGAGTGGGACAACCTGGAGAATAAGGATGCGCTGACAGGCATTGGTTCGTCCTTGCAGGCGTTGGGACCCTTCCCATCCCATGGAGGGGAGGGTACGTCTGGGGAGCCGGCGGAGGCGGGACATACCATCGGCCTGCTCCCGGAGCCAACATAGGTGCGAGTGACTCTGCCATCGCGCCCTAGGTGCCAGTGGAGGCGGGTGGCCCCGCCATCATGCCCCAAGAGCCAAGGGGAGCGAGGCGTTCCGCCAACGTGCCCCAGGAGCTGCCCGGGGTGAGCCCCTCTGCCCAAGAGCAGGGGGCGGGCTCAAAGCGGCCTCATTCCGATGAGGCAAAGAAAGGGTCGGGGGTTCGTCCCCCCAAACACATCTAACGCCCAACGGCGTCGAGGTGAGTTATCTATTCCTCTA